CGACAAAACCGTGGGTCCCGCTCGAGACTTCCCTTCTTACTCAAGGCAGTGTTCCTCCTCGCCGCCGACAACCGCCGTCCCAACAGAACCTGCGCTCCCGCTCGAGACTTCGTGTTGTTTCACGCTGGACTAGCGACCTACTCTCTTCTGCATTGGCGCCGCTCCCAGCAACAACAGCACCCCTGCTCGAGACGTCCTCCCTTTCTATTCAGGGCCACGTCCTTGCCTCGCCGCCGATAGCCCCCATCCCCACCAAGCCAATCCTATCGCTCGATACTTCCTTGTGCTTTACCCTTGGCGGGGGTTCCACTGGCGGTCTCGCATCGGCGCAGCAGGGCGCGGGCATGTGTTTTCGGGGCGGGATATGTTGAAATTCCTCGGAGGAGGTGTTTGCTAGACCTCATTGGGTGGGATATCTGGGAATGGGAATAACGGACCCCCGCGATAGAACAATAATCCCCCATGATGGGGATGATTATCATGATGGTCGCATGCTGCGTGTGGAAGCATCGCGCATGAGGGTATAATGATTGTTGTTGTTATTGTTGTTGTTGCTGTTGCTGTTGCTGTTGTTGTTGTTGTTGTCGTTGTTGAACATTATTAATTCTAAAGAATAATTATTGTTGGGCCCCCTGGTGCACGGCCCCCCTGCGCCGCCTAGGCCGCAGCTACATTTTCATCATTTTCGTGAGGAAGCCTCAGGTAATTCGATGTGATCAAGATCCAGTTGTTTTGTTTCCCCCCGCTTTCCCTGCAAAAAACACTATAAAATGACATTTCTTGTTCTAATATAATCAAATTTCAAGAATCCCTTGCAAAAAATAAGGTAAAGTGGACATTCGCGCGCGCAAGACGAAATCCTTCCAAAAGCTTAGTGTTCGGAGCGATTTTAACATAAAAACATCAAAAAACCAATGGTTTTTCAACAAAAAAATGTCAAAATCTCATCCCGCGCGCTCTTGCGGATTCGTAGGAAACCCAACACTTTTTAAACATTTCTGTCAAACGGGCTTTTGCGAGCAACTTTTTCGAACTTCTGCGACAACGGTTGCGCACCTGCCAGGGCCATCATCCCTGTCAAATAATACCATGCGGGACACATTCGTTTTTTCTTCGCGCGCGCACGCCGAAATCTCCAAAAACCATTGGGCTTCTTAAGAATTTTAGCACCGCGCATCATAAAATCACACGAATCGCACCGTAGGTCCTCGAAAAACACCTGCACGACTTTTCAAAATTTCTACCCGCGCGCGCTGTCCTAACAACTTCTGTGGGTGTGTACTCCACGCCAGTGTAGTAGCCACGGTCGTCCGCAGGCCACGAAGTGAAGTGTCCGAACGTCATAGGGCGGGAAGCTGGGTGTGGGTGGTGGCGAAGAGTCGTGTGGATATTTGGTAGAGCTTGCACTGCCCCCCCACAAAGTGGGGGTATTGGCTGGCGTCGCATGAAAACCCTGGCACTGGTGAGAACACTGAGCGTTCGGGTAAAGTGATTGTTGTTGTTGTTGTTGTTGTTTCGATTATATTTTTTGTTTTGGTTGTTCGCCCTTACGGATTGTCGCTCGGTGGTCATCCGTGGCCGTTCCGTGCGCTGGCTTGTGTTGAAATTGCGCCACGCAGATCGCACTCCCCCAAAAGGATTCGACTCTCCCCCCCCCAGGGCCACGGAACGTTCGCCTCCGCATGCATGCTTTAATGTCGTGCTCAATCGGCGCTCGTGCTCAATCTGCACGATCGCCCACCTTCTCAATCAAATGGTACCATCCCAACCAACCAGGAATCGACCCCTCCTTCACCCAACCATTTCCTGCAACAGAAGCAATGCGGTGCACATGGGCTGCTATTCTGAGAGCGTTTGGAACAACACTTCTCACATACTACCATGCGGGCCACATGCGCATGCCCCCTGGCGTACATGGCAAAATCATCCATCACACATTGTTCGAGAAATTGCAAAACAAGCCTTGTCAGACGCTATCAGCAATCGTTGTCTTCCAGCAGTAAATCGCCAAACTTCTGCGCGCGTGCACCCGCTGAGATGCAACAACACATATTTTTGCTATTCTGTCAGATGAGGCCATGGCGTGCCGAACACATTCAACAACCATCGCGCACAAAAACAACCTGTCAATTCATACAATGCGGACCACACGCACCCGTCTGCGAAATCCTTACCAAACCATAGGTTTTCTCGTTTCGACAGATATGCGTTCAAAACAAATCTGAACCTTCGCGGTTTTGAATGATATACACTTGATTTTTTGCACGCGCGCACTTCCTCACCGTCCTCATCAACATCACCGTTGTCATCATCGTCAGCGTCATTATTGAACTCGTCATCGCCATCATCAACATCATCACCATCGCCGTCGTCGTCATCAACACCGCGGTCGTCGATATCGTCGCCCTCGTCATCATCGCCACCGTTGTCACCATCACCATCATCATCACCATCATCAGCGCCATCATCATCAGCAGCATTATCATCAAGATCAAGATCAAGATCAAGATCAAGATCATCATCATCATCATCATCATCATCATCATCATCATCATTCTCGTCGTCGTCGTCGTCGTCGTCGTCGTCGTCTTCGCCGGTGCCGTCGTCACCATTGTAAGTCACCCGCCCGAGTCATGGATCTGAATGAACAGGATCTGCGCGTCTCTGCGCCACTTGAGATTCGCAAGCAAGCTCCGACAGGCAACTGCAGTCACGGCTTGTATGAGTTTTTCCGAACAGTTGCGGGTGGGAGGGTGGGATATTTGCTCGGGAAGTGGAGTTGACGACTGCAAGTTCTTCAATATCCGTTGCATCCCGTAGATTGCGCAGTCTGGCAATGCAGCCTGCACCACAGAGGAGGGGGCGCTGGTAGCAGGGGAGGGAGACTGAAGCTTTTGATGTCTCTGGCTGTCTTTGAACACCCAGAGTTCTCCAGTGGCCTCTGGGGACCCTCGTGAAGCCAAGGCGCGGTTGATTCCTGTCGTGACGACGTGGACGCTGGTCTCTGACACCGTGCAAATCGATCAATCTTTGATCTTCGCTATCCGACAGCGGAGATCGTCCAATATGGCACGCCGTTCAATATTGGCCGAACTCAAGCCGTTGCGGCCGTCAACTTTGAACGCCCGCCCCAGCGTCGCCGCCGCGATGATGCGGCGCGAACTTGTCGAGAGCAACCAGTCCATACCAGCGCTGGTCCACCCAAAGGGCACGGGCTTCGCGGTAATCTCTTGCCCCTGCAATTTTTTCCGCGAGGCTTTGCGCTGAGATTTCTGCCGTGACGGACGAGCGGATCGTTGAAGCATGCGAGAGCCGTTGCGAGAGAGACAAAGGGAGGGAGAGAGAGAGAGAGAGAGAGAGGGAGAGAGCGAGAGGGATATTAATCATGCTTCGCCGATTTGTCGTCGTCGCCCTCGTCCTCTCCTCCTCCTTCTTGCTTCCCTCCTCCTCCCCTCTCCTCCTCCCTCCCACTCCACTCCCCCTCCTCCCTACCCCCTTCTCGTCGTCCTCCTCCTCCTCCTCTTCTTTCCTCCTCCATCCCTTTCCTCATAGGTGACTCCTTCTCGTCTGACCGCCAGACGTGTCGGTAAGGCGGACCGGCCGTTTCGCCTGAGACGTCGTCACAACTAGTGATCCTGAAGGTTGAAGTTTGCAACGGCGCCAGGGATGGAGGGCGGGCCGTGTTCAAAATGGACATTCGTCAACAACTGGGGAGAGGGGCCTGGTTTCGACAAGGGAACTCTCGCCTCAACGCCGTGCACATTCGTCTCAACCGCTTGATAACGGTTGCAGCAGTTACAACGGTGGAGGGCGGAGACTCGTCAAATTGTAGCTCTGGCCTTGGCGCCGCGTGCGCTCGTCTTAAAAGATTTGCAACTGTTGCGACAGAGGGCGGCTTATTTTCAAAATGGTGCTTTCGCCTTAGCGGCCCGCGCATTCGTCTTAAGCGTTTGCAGCATTTGCTGGACTGGAGGACGGTCCCTTTTCAAACTTGGGCTATTGTTGAATATTTCTCAAATCCTATCAGCCCTTTAGGGCGTATGTGGTTTAGCAAGTGAGTTCTCCCAAAATCCTTCTGCCCCGTCGGGGAAAGAACAGTTTACCTCTCCCCTTGCCCGATGTTGAAGGCCGCCTGTAAGAGGGCAATCTTCTTACTTGGTCTGGGCCCTGAACAATCTTTGCATCCGTCTCTTTACAGGTCGGGACAACGACATCAAGGGGGAGGATCGCCTTCCATGATATGGTTCTACTCCAGAGTTCGGGTGTTCCATTCACCATCTTCTTCTAATGTTATTTTTCAAGACGGAGATCTCGATGGACAGCCAGTCAATCTTTATGGCAATACCTTTTCGTATTCTTTGCTGCTTGGTAGGGATGCAGGGCAGCTCCTTTTCAACTCGTGGTTTTCGCCTGCATGGCATGCCCTATTCGATGCTGGTCTGCCCAGGGGGGCGCTTCTGAGGGTTAGAACTAAGGCTCGCGGGGAAGGGGCTTGGGACAGGGGTGTATTGCAGCATCGCCGATGCATCTTAGGCTTGCTCTGGTCCCTCTCCCGCCTTCTTGCTGAGACGGGGGGGGCATCGGCGGGCTGTCCCTTGTTGCGTGAGCGCCCCGACCTCCTCCCTCGTCCGTCCAGCGCTGGCCCGTCCGCAAGCGCTCCCTCTTCCTCCTCCTCCTCCTCCTCCTCCTCCTCCTTGGCCCTCCTGCCTCCACCTCAATCAAAGGGGGGTGTCGTCTCCCTGGCGTCCGCCAGTTAAGAAAAGGAAGGCTTGGCTCGCCGTCCCTCCTCTCCCTCCTGGTCCTCCTCGTCTTCTTCCCTCTCCAGCTCCTCCCATCGTGCCGGGAGAAGGAAGAAGACGAGGAGGATCAGGAGGGAGACGATGGGGAGGATGGGAGAGAGGTGCGAGGGCGAGGAGCGACCAGGCGGAGCAGGAGGACAGGGCCGCGGTGGGAGAAGCTCTGTGGAGGACAGGCCGCGCCGCTCCAGAGGCCCAAAGGGCCTGCTGACTGAGCGGCTTGGCACCGTGGCGCGCCCACATCGAGGTCGTGCGCCATCTCGCCTGGCGCCTGGGCAGAGGAGGAGGAGGAGGAGGAGGAGGAGGAGGAGGAGGAGGAGGAGGAGGAGGAGGAGGAGGACCCCCCCTGCTTCCCTCGCGAGCCTCCCCTCGTGCTCGCGGCGCCCCCCCAACCCCTCCGCCCCCCCCCCCGCCCTCTCCCACCCCGTCGGCCGCACCCCCCCCTCTCCCGCAAAATTGCCCTACGCCCTGGGCTTGCCTTGAGCCCCCCCCCCACCCCCGTCCCCCCCACGCTCCCCTCGCCTCTCTCCCGTCCCACGCCCCAGTCCCCCATCCCCTTTCCATCTCCGCCCGCCGCCATCATCCCTCCCCCCTCCCTCCCCCCTTTTTCGGCCATCCCCTCCCTGCTTCTCCTCCCTCCCACCCCCGCTCGTGCGGGACACTCGGAGGCCGCCTGGCCGCCTGGAGCTTCTCTCCCGTGGCCTCTTGGAGCACTCCTGGAGCCTCCTGGGGCCGCTTTCTGCCAGGGCGCCTTCTGCAACCGCAGCCCTCCGCAGCCCTCGGGGCACCACGCGGGCTACGGGAGCCAATCGGGGAACAGTGAGCCCTGGAGACGAAGACCGGCGGGCGCGCGGACAAGAGCCCGTTAAGTGTCCAACAAGCTGTGGGAAGCAATCCCACCAGCCCTTTAGGGCGCGAGTGGTTTAGGGCGTTATCTCTTCCAACCCTCCTTCTTCCTCTTCGGGATCTCCTCCAAGATGGCCCCAAATAACCCCAAGAGGCCCCCAAGAAGCTCCTAAGAAACCCCCACGAGGCTGCCCCAAGGCACCGAAAACGCTCCAAGAGGCCCCGGGGACCGCCAAGATGCCCCCAAGACGCCCCAAGAGGACCAAGGGGCCCTCAAGAGACATTTCAAGAGACCCCGAGAAGCATCCAAGAGGCCTCTGGCCTTTCTGCTCGCCCTCCTCCCCCTCCTCCCCTCTTCCTCTTCCATCAATTCCTCCTCGTCCCTCCTCCGTCTTCCCCCTTCACCTCCTCCTCCTCCTCCTCGTCCCCCTCTTGGGGTATGACGGCTTCCCAAACCCCTTATTCCACGGCGTGTTCCTCCACATCCCTGATTAAGGCACCTCGCTTGGGCATCGTTTCTGGATGGGCTGGTGAGGCTACGCGAAGCGTTTAGAACATCTTTTCGAAACATGTGCCCCCTCCCCACCTGCGCACTCCCCAAGTGGGCGATTTAGTCAATGCACACCCGAGTCAATCATCGATCGGGACAAACATGTCTTGTAGACCCACGGGTCTGTTTAGTAAGAGCCTGGTTATGCGGGACGGGCTGTTTGTCCCCATCTCGACTTTGATTTTTGGGCGCGCCTCGTAGTTCCCCCTCCCCTCCGTGTCCGATATATCGGCAAGCGCTCTTCAGAACTCCACGCCACTTCGTGCTACCTCGTGCCACAAAATAAACGCATAGGACCCCGCCGGCTTCGGGGAACTCCTCGAGGAAGGATTAGGTGCGCGTCAGGGAGGGGGTAAGAACGCGGACAGCAGAGGACAGCGCCAATGCTCAGAGGGGGGGAATGTGGCATCACGCAACAGCATAAGAGGAGGGTTGGAGACCAGTCGTACCTCGGGACTCAAGCTCAGATGTCTTCATCCTCCGTTGGTTCCGCCATTCCTGGACGCTGCGGCGTGGTGCTGCGTGTCTTCGGTCAGTTGTAATAGTAGTAGTAGTAGTAGTAGTAGTAGTAGTAGTAGTAGTGATACTAGTAGTAGTAGTGGTAGTAGTAGTAGTAGTAGTAGTAGTAGTAGTAGTAGTAGTAGTAGTAATAGTAGTGGTAGTAGTAGTAGTAATAGTAGTACTAGTAGTAGTAGTAGTAGTAGTAGTAGTAGTAGTAGTAGCAGTAGTAGTAGTCGTAGTCGTAATAATAATAATAGAACTGGTAGTAGTAGTAGTAGTAGTGGCAGTAGTAGTAGTAGTAGTAGTAGTAGTAGTAGTAGTAGTAGTAGTAGTAATAGTAGTAGTAGTAGTACTAGTAGTAGTAGTAGAAGTAGTAGTAGTAGTAGTAGTAGTAGTAGTAGTAGTAGTAGTAGTAGTCGTAGTAGTAGTTAGTAGTAGTAGTAAAAGTAGTAGTAGTAGTAGTAGTAGTAGTAGTAGTAGTGGTAGTCGTAATCGTAGTCGTAGTAGTAGTCGTAGTAGTCGTCGTAGTAGTAGTAGTAGTAGTAGTAGTAGTAGTAGAAGTAGTAGTAGTAGTAGTAGTAGTAGTAGTAGTCGTAGTAGTCGTAGTAGTACTAGTAGTAGTAGTAATAGTAGTAGTAGTAGTAGTAGTAGTAGTAGTAGTAGTAGTGGTCGTAGTAGTCGTACTAGTAGTAGTAGTCGTAGTACTACTACTAGTCGTTGTCGTCGTCGTCGTCGTCTTAATAGTAGTAGTAGTAGTAGTAGTAGTTTTTTATAGTAGTAGTAGTAGGACTACGACCACTTCCACGATTGTTTTACTACTACTACTACAAGTACTACTACGACGGCGACGACTACTACTATTACTACACAAGGCTACGGCTACGACTACTTCTTCTTCTGCGGTTACCACTACCACGACTACTACGACTACTATTACTACTACTACTACTACTACTACTACTACTACTACTACTACTACTACTACTACTACTACTACTACTATGACGACTACTACTACTACTACTACGACTACTACTACTACTACTACTACTACTACTACTACTACTACTACTACTATTTCTACGACTACGGCGACGACTACGACCACGACTAATACGACTACAACTAATTTTATCACTACTATTGCCACGGCGATTACGATTATTAGGTTCCCTACTGCTACGACTACTACTACTACTGCTACTACTACGACTGGTACCACTACTACTACCAATACTACTACTACTACTACTACTACGGCTCCGACTACCATTATCACGACTGTTGATGCCACGACTATTGCTACAGATATTACTGCGGCTGCGACCACGATTACGACTACTTTTATTTCTCAAATCTCTACGACTACTACGACTATTACTGCTACCAGCATTACCTTTCATATTATCATTACTCCTCCTACTTCTACTACTACCACTACAACTGCTACTTCTACTACTACCCCCCGTACTACTACGACGACTGCTACTACCACTACTACTACTACTACTACTACTACTACTACTACTACTGCTACCACTACCACCACAACGACCATTACTATTATCATCACGATCACCATTATTACGATTACCATAATTCTCCCTACCACTACTGCTGCTATTATTATTTTCACTAGTACTGCTACTACTCCGACTAATATCACGACGACGACTACTACTATTACAGCTACTACTACAACTACAAGAAAGATGACTGCTACTACGGCGACTGATATTATAATTGTCACAACTACTATTCCAATTACTAGTAACACTAGCACGACTGTTGTTACTATTACTACTATTACCACGACGATTACTACCACTACTATCTCTATCACTACAACTATACTACTTCTACTACTACTACGACCACGATTCCTACGATTACTACGAGCACGACTACTACGACTGCTACGACTACTATTCGTATTACTACCACTACTACCACAATCTCTACGACTACTACTACTACTACCACTACTACTACTGCCACAACTCCAATTTCTATTACTACTACTACTACCACTACGACTACGACTATTACTACTACTACTACTGCTACTACTGCTACTCCTACGACTACTACGACTACGATTACTACCCTTACTATTCTACGGCCACAACTACCATTACGAATGCTACTGCTACTAATATTACAACCATTGCTACCCCTACGCCTACCACTACAACTGCAACTACCACTTCTCTTACCAGCACTCCATTACGACTGCTACTTGGACTACTACGACTGCTACTACTACTATTACGAATACTATTTCTGTTGCGACTACTACTTCTACGACTATGACTACTATCACGACGACCACTAGTACGACTAGTACTACTATTACTACTACCAGTTGTTTAATTATTACTACGACTACGACTACTACTACTGCTGCTGCTACTACTACTACGACTACTACGACTACTACTACTACTACTACTACGACTACGGCTACTAGTACTAGTA